GCCTTATTTTGAGGGAACAGATGTGAAGGTCTAATTAAGTAACTGCTGCTTAGTGGTGCTAAATAAATGTAGTTCAATAAAAAGGTCTCTTCCTCAATATGTGAACTAGAAAGTTCAGGTGAGATAGCACCGTGGGCAAGCATCCTAGTTGACTTCACATTAAGAGAGCTTACAACAGTGGAGAGTAAGAAACCCTTAGTAGTGCTGTGGGAAAGCAAAACCCTTAGAGATGGTGGCTTTTGACCAACGTGGAGTGATTGTGTCACCCAACCAGAACAATTTCAGCCAGGACAACAGTCATAATTTGGAACTGTCCCAGGCAAATAAAGATGTATGGTCATGTTACTGGTTGCTCAGGTCTGTATTACTTGTTGCCCCCCCCCCAAGGAACCCAAGAGGCTTAGTGGGAAGGAAAAGGTGTATTCAGAGCTAGCTCTGAAGGAGATGGAAGGGCTTCCAACTACCTCAGAGCTCCATTTCCCTGTGTTCAGGGGCTTTTGTTGCAAGAGAGGGAAGAAATACAATGAGACAACAAGAGAAAAGGAAATTCCACAGCTGTTTCACTCTGACCTCCCGGAGCCAGCATCTACATATTCTTTCCAGAGGGATCACTAGTTTTCTGGCAGAGGGGTTACTTTTTTGTCCATTCATCTAGGCAGAGAAGAGGGAGTAGCAACCTATATTCTCAGCATGAGAAAAGTTGGAGAAGCAGCCTATCTTTAAGAGAAAAAAAAAAATCTTAATTTTTGTATTTATTTTATCCTCTCAGTTAGTCATCTTATACCAAAACTGTATAGGCAGCATGTGACAGAACTTGTCTCACTGTCTTAGGTTGCTTTCTCATATCCTATTTTAAGCCTAATAATAGCACTACAAATGATTATCTCCATTTAATAGATGAAGACATTACAGTTTGTAATTAGGGAGAAATGGAGTAGGGGTGACAGTCTGTACGTTTACCTTATGGCTGTGATAATTAACCCCACCAAAACTCTTTGGGCCTTGTTTCTATTCTTTGAGACACCCCCCCCCCCAAACTGAATGTTTCAGGGAAGCAGATTCTGGCTGGTTTACTGGAGAATTTCCCAATAGAGCTTGTTATAAACTGAATGCTTATCCCCCCATTCATATGTTGAAATCTACTTTCCATGTGATGGTATTAGGAGAGGGGTCTCTCAGAGGTAAATAGGTCATGAGGTTTCTGTCCTAATCGGTGGGATCAAATTTTCTAAGAAGAATCCAGAGAGCTAGCTGGCTTTCTGTCCACTGTGAGAATACAAGAAGTTAACAGTCTATAAGCCAAAAGAGGGCTGTTATATTTTGGGTTTTGCAAGGGGAACAGTATAATACAGGGCACATATTTTATAAGATCATTTATAATAGTCGCCTAAAGAATCATATACAAAAAGAGAGTACAGGAAATCTGTCCACACACTAAAGACCAAAGAATCCAACTAAGGGCCTGGATCCCGTGGTAATGTCCTGCATGGGTCCAGCTGAAGACCTAGAGCTCATAACAGTGCCTCCCATGAGTCCAGCTGGAAGCCTAGAGCCCATGACAATGTCTCATGCAGGCCTGTTTCATGAATCTGCACTAGGAAGGCCCAAAGGTCAGTAGTGGAATCTAGAAAGTCTGTGCCAGAGGGATGAAGGATCTGTGCTAGCAGGCTGAGGGATCTGAATTGGAGTCCGGAAGTGATGCTCAAAGTAAGAATCAGAGCTCCCTGGAAAGGTACCACAGCCATGCTCAGCGACAGTGAGGTCTTGAACTCCTCTGATGATGAGAACAGCCGAGTTCCCATCAGGAAAGCCAACACGACAAGCTTCTCAAGGAGCCTGAACAGTGCACCATGTTTCCCTCTGGAACCAGGAAGTGATGCTCAAAGTGAGGACCAGAGCTCCCCCAAAGTGAACCACAGCCATTCTCAGTGACAATGAGGTCCCGAGCTCCTCCTCCCATGAGAACAGCCAAGTTCATCAGGAGAACCAGCATGATAAGGTCCTCCAGCAGAATAGCCCAAGAGAACCAGCAGCTCCCTAACAGCTTCCCAGAAACTTCTACCAGCTCCCAAGAGCCTCTAACAGTTTCCAAACTTCTTCCTGTCCAGTTCTGTCTCTTATGCTCCCGGCAGCAAATTTCAGCACATGGAACCTTGGGAGACACTCAAACCATAGCAAGACTCCTCACTAGAACATCACCATGCTGGCACACTGATCTGAGACTGTTAGCCTGCAGAACTGTGAATGAGAAGCACTTGTTTAAGCCGCCCAGTTTACACTAACTTGTTATAGCAGCCAAAGCTAAGACACATCTACAACATCAAAGTCTTCCACCTCTGTTAGGACTTTTGTAGAGGGAATCTGTTAGACATGAGAGATTGTTAGACATGACAGAAGGGCCTGCCATTCCCTGAGAGGTAATTTTTTCCCCCTGTGGCTCCACTAAATGCCTTATAGCTGGCTGTGGCTACATCAAGTGCCCCACAGTTGCTATGAGTGGCATTAGTTTGGCTGCAGCAAGCTGCAGTCAGTTGAGGGTCCATTCTAAAGGACTCTACCCTTCGCCTCTGCAGCCACCTTCAGTCAGGTCTGTAAGGAGCTCCTCCTCTCCCCTCCCCATGACCACACAAGAAGTCTGAGGATGAGATGCGTGAGTCTGCCTTTTCTCTATATAAGCAACTTCTCCCACACCTGTGGATATCAGCCCATGCACTGTTCCCTCTTAGGCTGCAGCATAAGTCCTAACAAAGCCTTTTCCCAATGGTATATTCTTGCCTATTTGTGTTTTCTCTCTGAGCAGCACGGAATGGGTGCACTAAGAGCTGGTAACTGCAAAGGCCACTGGCACTGGAAACAGCCAACAACTGGGGTTGGTAACCCTGAAAATGTTCCAGGAACATCTGGCTAGCAGCCAGAGAAGGACAGAAGGCAACAGAAATGCTAGCAGCTACAATCTCCAGTGGCTGGCAGAGTTCCCAAAGCCTGCCAGTCACTGTTGGCTCCAAGCAGCAAGGAGATAACTAATACTAAAAGAGATGCTAGCTGATGGCATTCAAAGTTCAGGGTATTAACACTAAATGAGTTGATAACCAGTGGCAGTCATAGCCCAGCTACACATTGCCTACTTGTGATTTCTATATGAATTGAGCAAAAGAACCCCATCTGCCTGATAACATCTTGGTGGCCTGTGTGCACATCCTCCCTTTTAAAAAGTAGGATCTACAATGCTGACAGTGGTCATAGACCTGCCTCACAGAGGACAAGTAGCTGCCTGAACCTTCAGTGTCAGTCATGACTGAACTAGTCCATGGCTGATTTATATTTTACATGCAGCCAAGGACTCACACTAGCTGGTGATGATTGGATCTGATTATTTTAGATTTCTTCCAACTTTGGGAGTCTGCAGTTTTCAGGATGGCAGTCTTTGTATACTCTGGGTAGCTTAAACATTTAGAAAAGATGCTTGGGAAATATTAAAGGTAGTAAAGAAGCACATACCCACACCTCAAGTCAGCCCTGGTCCACCCTGAAAACTCCCACTTGGTGGTGATATGGCTTTGGCAAGCTCTGGTGTGCTTCCTTGCTGAGCCTCCGTGTTCTCATTTGTAAAGATGCAGAATAATAGTCCCTACCTTCTCTCCTAGACCTCTATTCATGGCATCCTTTTAAGATACTGCTTTTCTGGGTCCCTGGAATTTAATCCCACGCCCTCTTATCACCATGGAGGAGCCACACAGGCAGCTTTTTCTGTTGTCAGGTAGATACTCTTCCTCAGCCCCTACTACCTCTGCAGAAAATGCTTCCTGGCTGCCTGGCATGCTAGAAATCACTTCTACCTATTTTGTTTTATCAATCATTTCTGTGCTTACAATACAATTCTATAAAAGTTCAGTTGGTTTTCCACTGGCCCTGGGCAGGGATGAGGGATAGCATATTATTATTTTATAAAAGATATGAATAATAAAAATAAATCATAAAACAGCCCTGACCACATAGCAGAGAGTCAATAAATATTTGCTTGCTTAAAGCAAAACTGTCTGCTAAGACCATTTTTTCCATCACTGCGAGTTCGCTCAGAGAACCGCTCTCAAATTCAACTATTTTAAAAAACATTTTTAATTGAAAAAGAGATACTTGTATATGGTAAGATATTCAAACCGAACAGCACAAATGCACAAGTGACTCCATCTGTTCTGTCCTCCTTGGCTATGCCACTGTTAAGAATTGCTGTGTGTTGTGCCCATTCTAACCTCTGTGTAAATCCTCCTTTTTTAAACCCAGAGGCGTTTACATCCTTCAGTGGCTTCTGACTCAGACCTGACAAAGCTCTCCTGCTTCACAGGGCTTGGAGCCCATTGTGGGGACCTCCAAGTCTGGAGGGCTGTGTACCAGCGAAGGACAGTCTCTGCCTCCACGTGGCGCCACCTCCCAGACCCTGCTACCAGGCAGATAAAACACCCCGGGAGACACTCCAACACCACACATGCCTCAGTTTCCCAACTTGTAACAGGGGAGAACACCAGTGGTGTTCTCTGAATCTCGCAGGTGCCACAAAGACCAGCTCGGAGGGTGGCAGGCTTGAGAGGGGTTTTGCAGCCAGCCCCCATCCAGGAGGTGAAATTTGAGCAGCACACCTTCGGGGCTTAGTGACCCAACGCCCTAGCGGCAAAAGCTTTTCTCTGCGCCTGCCCCTCTTCCTTTCTTTTCCCTCCCCGTGTGTCCCGCTCCAGTTTTCCTCTCCATGCTCTCCCATCTCCCACCTCCTTTTCTCTTCCTCTGCTGGTCCCGCCCTCTGTTCCTCCCTCCTTCTCCCCCCGCGCCCCCTCAGTCTTTCTCTTTTTCTTTCTCCTCCTTCCCCCTCCCTGCGCCCGGCCTTTCTCTTCCCAGCCCCTCCCTTCCTTGCTTTCCCAGCATCTCTCGGAAACCCCGGAGCGGATCGCCGACCGGGACGGGCTTCGGCGCATGCGCAGCACGGCGCCGGCTCTGCCAGTCGGAAGCTCCTGCTTGAGCCGGGGGAGCGGCCGCGGATGCTGCTCTCCCAGCTGCCCGCCAGGCCGCTGGCTTCTGCTCCGAGCCCGGAGTTACGGGCTGTGTAAGTGCAGCGTGGGGGGCTCCTGGTCGGGGCGCCCGTGCCGGCGCGGGGTGGGCCGCGCGTGGCGGCTGGCAGTCGCTGTGCGTCCCGCGGAGGGACTCGCCCACTTTCACCTGTCCCGGCGGGTGTGCCCCTCTCTCCCCGGGCCACCTGCAGCGCCCGGGGTTCACTCCGCAGCGCCCGCTGCCTGGCCACCCGGTGACACCGACCCGTGCAGGCCCGGGGCCACACCTGCTGGGACCCGGCCGCACCTGTCCCACACCGGCGCGCACCTGCTACTCTCGGGCCCTGCTTTGCTCTCCCGAGTTCGCGGCAGGCCAGCCCCCTGTCGGTCCCTCCCGCCTCCCGCCCGTCGCTCCGGCCGCAGCGCCCCTGGCCCGCTGAGCTTCCCGCCGCCCCGCCCCGCGGTCCCTCCGTCCCTCCTCGCCCTGCCCTCCCTCTCCTGGAGGCGGGCTCCGCACTCTCAACTCCGCGGCGGCAGGCTCCGACCCGCGACCCACGGGAGGCCGTCTTCGCGTGGGAAACTCAACTTCTGCCGGTGAAGTCCGGGGAGAAGAAATGTCAACACCGCGCTGGCCTTTCAGCTTCTCTCTCTTCCAGCCCGCCCCCCACCTTTAACTCTGTGCTTCCTTGTGTTACGGTGCGGTGTGTGCGGTCTTCCCCTGTCTGTGGAGAGAGGGATCAAAGTGCGGACACAGGTCTCGGTTTAATTCAGTGTGAGCTGAGTGTGTGAAGACCAGACATGCCTCTTTAGCGACTGGTAAAGTCGCTAAGTATCTAGCGATACTTAAAAAAAGTAGTAGTTTATAGCTAGCTCTTCACCCAGCCTTATTTGTTAAAATGAAATAATAGCACCAGGAGCATCGAAGACCCAGAGATAATGCAGTCCTAAAGATCTGGCAGTTTTGTTTTGGTAGTTTTAAAAACAATTATATGGCGAACTAGAGGGGAAAATAGTTGTCGAGATATATTTTTTTAAACTTCAGCTTTATTCAGACATCGTTCACCCAGCAGAAAATCCATTTGTTTTAGGTGTACAGTTCGTAGATTTTCAGTATTCCCGCCGTTGTGCAACTATTAGTTTCAGAACATTTTTTACCAGCCCGGAAAGAAACTTCATACCAGCAGTCACTCATTCCTTCCACCTTCCCAACACTGGCAAACACTTATTTATTTTCTCTGCCCGTGGATTTGCATGACTGCACATTTCATATTAGTGGAATTGTACAACATGTTTTTTGGTATCTGGCTTCATTCATTCGGCATGGTGCTTTCAGAGTTCATCCATATTGCAGCCTGCCTCAGTGCTTTGTTGCCTGTTATGGCTGAATACTATTCTGTAGTTTGGGTAGACCACATTTTGTGGGTCTGTTCCATACGTTGAACATTTCTGTTGTTTCCACATTTTGCCTATTTATTATTTACTGAGGCAGGGTTCCAGGCTGTCCTCAAACTTGTGAGATCCTCTTGCTTCAGCCTCCCAGAGTGGTGGGATTACAGACATGTACTACCACATCTGGCTTTTTTGGTTATATGTGAGTAAAATTGCTATGAACATTTGTGTACGAGTGTTTGGTGTGCATACAGATTTTCAGATCTGTTGGGTATATATATGGGAATAGAATGTAGATTTCCTGGTAACTGTTGTCACTTTTTGAGAAACTAACAAGGTGAAGCAATATATTTTTGATGTTTTAGTATGTGTACGAGCTTTGTCAGACACCACGATTGCCTTACTGCCAAGCCAAGCCCCAGCATATCGTCCCCGGAAGAAGGCAGTGGATAATAGGACTGGAGCCTGAGTGGCAGTTTACTACGGAAGAGCAGGAGATGAATGGGTGACTGATCCTTGGTCACCTGCAAGACTAAAGATAGTATGCACCTTTTTAGGATTGTTGTGAAGCCTAAGTTGTAACTAGTGCAGTATACTTCTTTTCACACCTTCCAGAGAACTATCTGGGATAGAGGCGTAGTTTGAATCTGGGGCCGACGTTCACAAGGAGTTTGATCTGATCCTGAGCAGCTTCAGGGACAGCTGTTGCTGAGGTCCAATGCAGGGAATGAGGGTGACCCCTTTTTATACTTCTCAGTACCAACTAGAAGTAGGAGAAAACCAGAAGAGCTGTTGGACCCCAGAAGACCTGGTTGTGTAGACTTCACAGGCTGAAGAATTCCAAAAGTTGGAGGATCCATAACTGGATTTTCTATTTTTATTTTTGCCCTGACAGGATAATTGAAAGACAAACAGAGCCACTACTTACTTTGTAAAAGTAGGATTTTTTTTTGGAACTAGGGCCATGCTATGTTTCCCGGTGTGGTCTTGAGCTCCTGGGCTCATGTGATCCTTCGATCTCAGGCTCCAAGTGCTGGGCCTGTGTATGACACAATGCCTAGCTAAGAATGTTTTAACAGCAAAAAAGTGAGGAAGTTTATAACTGAAAAAAAATTATGATAATAGTTAGTATTTATAAAGTACTTTTTTCTTCGAGACAGAGTCTTACTTTATAGTACAGGCTGGCCTTGAACTCACTATGTAGCCCAGGCTGGCCTCAAACTTACAGTGATCCTCCTGCTCCAACCTCCTGAGTATTGTGATATAAGGCACTTATTATGTTCAATTTAGTTTCCTGGAAAGCTCATATTTTTTTTTTCCATTTTTCTTTAGATGAGGAGAATTCAGCGCTTTCATCTTCAGGCCCGGGTCCAACGCCCATTATCGACCTGTCTTTGAGCAGAAGATCTTATGTGGCACATCTGATTTTTTGTGAGTCGTCATTTGTTGCTCATTGGAGAAGGGTACTGTAGGAGTAGCAGCATAAATTAACTAATAGGTGAGAAGGACTCAGGCTATAAAACTGACCAGGCTGCTGAATGCCAGACTAAGAGCTCATGGAAGGCTGACTTTCTTCCTTTTTCTTAACTTTTGAGAAGTTTTGAAAAATATTTTAAATATATAATACTTAAACATATATGTCCAACATACAATATTTGAAATATTTTTAACTTTAAATTTTTAGAAATATACTGTACAGTTTTGAGCATAAGCCAAGTGTCCCTGTACTTACCCCTCACTTAAGAAATAGAACGTGACGAGTGCATTTGAAGCCTGCTGTTTCCCTCTTTGCCACCTAAGTGCCACTACCCAAATTTATATTTTCTTTGTGGTTTTAATATCCATGTAAATGGGGCTAGGGATTTAGCTCAGCGGCAAAAGCGCCTGCCTGGCAAGCGCAAGGTCGTGAGTTCGGTTGCCGGTACCGGAGAAAAAACAAAACAAAACAAAACAAAAAAAAACTAACATCCATGTAAATATCCATAAATAATATATTCTTTAGTGTCGCCTCCCCATTGCCACCTCATGGCTGGTGATCGAACCAGAGCCATGTGCATACTAGGTAAGTGCTTTCTCACTGAGCTACATTCCCTAGCCCTAGTGTTCTCTGTTTTTGATCTATATAAGTGGATATGTACCATTTATATTAATATATAACTTGGTGGTTTTTTTTTATTTTTTATTTTTTAATTTTTTTTTATTTTAAAGATAAAAGGAGGGAAACATAACAGACTTACAACATTTGGTGGGTTTTTTTTTGACCTTGGCCATCATGTTTCTGCAATTCATCCCTGCTCCTGCAGTATAGCTATAGGTCATTTATTTTCATTATTTTGATATTTCATTGTGTTAAAAGACCACTGTTTACTTATCCATTCCTCTGTTGATGGACATTTGTGTTGTTTCTGGTTCTTGCTTCTGTGAACCTCTGTTAATTTCACCTACCATTTGTATGTCAAGTTTCCCCTAGAAGGAATTTCTAGGCCTGGGGAATGCATGGACTCACCTTTATGTAATGCCGACTGATTTCCAAAGTGGATGTGCTAGTCTGTGTTCTGTCTGTCAGATTGGAGAGTTACCTTTGGTCCACAGGTTTGCATACTCTTATTTTTCATACTTAAAAATCTTGTTCACCTGTGCTTATAGAAGCAGTGTTCTTTTTCTTTCTTGTTTTTTTTTTTTTTTTTTGTGTTTCTGAGACAAGGCCTCGCTTATGCAGTTTAGGCTGGCCTTGAGCTCACTTTGTAGCCCAGACTGGTCTCAAACTCTCAACGATCCTCCTGCCTCAGCCTCCTGAGTGCTGGGATTACAGGTGTGCACCACCATGCCTGGCAGAAGCAGTGCACACAATAGCCAAAAGTAGCAGCAACTCCAGTGTCTATCCATGGGTGAACAAAAATGTGGTTCTTCTGTATAATGGCATATTATTCAGCATTAAAAAGGGAGGGAGTTCTAATACATGCTGTGACACGGATGAACCTTAAAGACTTTCTGCTAAGTGAAATAAGCCAATTACAAAAGGACAAATAGTGCATGATTTCACTTATGCGAGGTGCACAGAGGAATCAAATTCACAGCAACAGAAAGTAGAGTGAGATTGCCAGGAGCTGGGATGGGTGGGATGAGGAGTTAGTGTTTAGTGGACAAAGATTTTCAGTGTTACATGATGAAAAGTTCTGGATATAGATGGTGGTGGTGATGGTTGTACAACAGTGTGAATGGACCTCCTGTTACAGAACCAAACACTTGGAAATGGTACATATATATTTTACTGTAATAAAAACTTTGTCAAGCTAGTGCGTGTGACGTAGTTTTATTAGTGGGTTTTAGTTGCCTTTTTCCAGGTGACCACTGAGGTGAGCATGTTTTGTACACATGTTCCCTGTTTTGCTTTCCTCTTAAGAGGTGTCTTTTGGAATATTTTGCCTGTATCCTGATTGGCTTATGCAACTTTGTTTTCTTCTTTCAGTGCTGTCGGTTGAAGGCGGGGCCGTGCGCATGTTAGATAAATGCTTTCCTATGTAGCTGCAACCCAGTGACTATGTGTCTTTCTTAGGCATGGATTGCCCATCATCCTGATGCCATTTATTGGAGAGTCTGTCCTTTTCTACTATTGTACTATAGCAACTGACCATATTCCAAATTTCCTTGTATGTGTGGGTCTGATTCCGAGCTTGTTTACATTCCTTTGATGAAATTATACCTGTCCACATACTGTGCTGATTGTAGCTTTTTGTCTAGTCTTTTATTCTTTTTACAGTTTTATTGAGATATAGTACATATCATTCAGCTCTCCAACTTAAATGTACAAGGCAGTGGTTTTAAGTGTATTCACAGAGCAAGCTACACAACCATCACCATAATCAGAACATTTTTGTCATTCTACAGAGGGCCCCATACCCCACTAGTAATTCTGCTTGGTGCTCTCTTATAGAATAAATAACCCTTCCTTGTGGGAGAACCTCAGGAGTTTCTTAGCTACTCTTTACTATAAATTCAGCTTGTTCTACTCCATCAAAAATCTGGTAGGAATTCTAAGCAGAATTGCAACCAATCTATATATCAAATGAGGACAGTGAACAGCTTTATGATATTAACTCTTTCTGTCCATGACTGCATCTGAGACCTTAGCTTTTCACCTCTGCAAAGCCTGGTAATGTTGAGAAACATTCCCTAGATGTTGGGTACGTGAAAGATGCGATTCTGTACATGGTTAGTTTCAACTGTGGCCTCTCTCAGAAGAGAAAAGTAGGCTTCACTGAAATTGCACAAATCACTTATGGCCATGTAGAGTGGTAGCCAGTGTAGAACCATGAGCTCCAGCTGGTGGGTTGGTGCTGGTTGGGCACCGGAGTTCCCTGCTTACTGCTGCCAGTGGGATAGCATTGGAGGTTTTATATTCCAGGTTAGGCAAGCCAAGTCACCACTGAGCTTCTCAAAGTATAGCTTTTTCCCTTTGGACAGGGACTTCAGGATGAGTGTCCCCGACTACATGCAGTGTGCTGAGGACCACCAGACCCTCCTGGTGGTGGTGCAGCCCGTGGGCATTGTTTCTGAGGAGAACTTCTTCAAGATCTACAAGAGGATCTGCTCTGTGAGTCAGCTCAGCATGAGGGACTCACAGCGGGCCCTCTTCATCCGCTACCGACACCACTACCCGCCAGAGAACAACGAGTGGGGTGACTTCCAGACTCACCGCAAGGTTGTGGGCCTCATCACCATCACTGACTGCTTCTCCGCCAAGGACTGGCCGCAGACCTTCGAGAAGTTCCATGTGCAGAAGGAGATCTATGGCTCCACCCTCTATGATTCCCGGCTCTTCGTCTTTGGGCTACAGGGGGAGGTGGCTGAGCAGCCACGCCCTGATGTTGCCTTCTACCCTAGCTATGAAGACTGTGACTCTGTGGAGAAGCGCATTGAGGATTTCATTGAGTCGCTCTTCATTGTGCTTGAGTCCAAGCGTCTGGACAGAGCCACAGACAAGTCGGGGGACAAGATCCCACTTCTGTGTGTCCCCTTTGAGAAAAAGGACTTCGTGGGTCTGGACACAGATAGTAGGTAAGCTTACTTAAAGACTGCAGCTCCTGGGCTTGGTGCTTAGGTTGTGTCCTTGCATAGAAAGGACACAAACGGTAGAGATTTATTGCAGCAAGGAGTAGAGAGATATTGTTCACTGGCTTTTAAAATCAGTGACTTTAAAACAGCCTGGTTTTTGGGTGAGGGACGTCCCTTAGGGTCTGTGTACACACTCACTCCCCTTTGTCAGAGGGCGTTTTGGTGGGACTCCTGCTACTGCTGTCCAGTACAGCAACCACAGCCACTTGTGGCTTTTGATTACCAGAACGAGGCTAGTGTGAGTGATGTGCTGTGCATAAAATACACTCCAGATTTTGAGATTTACTACTGAAAAATGAACATAAAATACCTTTCTAGTGTTCTTCATACCAACATATACATTAAATGAGCTGTATTATGAAATCTATTTCATTCACTTGTTTATACTTCTTATAATGTGGGAACTAGAAACTTAAACTTCCTTACGTGGCTTGTGTTTTGTTCCTGCTGGGCAGGGCTGTGGAAGAGCACAGCTTGAAAGCTTTTATTGTCTCATCATTTTGATTTATAGATGAGATACTGAACATGGAGAGGCAAGAACTAGGTCCTAGGTGAGCCAGGAGCAGAGCCCATGTCCTCTGACTCCCAGGCTGGACACTGTGCAGGTGCTGGGCCACTTTCTCATCTGAGAACTGCAGGCATGTCAGGAACACAGCCGAGGAGCTCCTGCAGAACTAACTTGTACGCATGAGAAGTGTGTCCCTCCTTCGTGTTCCCAGGGGTGTTGGGTAGAGCAGGGATAGGTCGGTCTTCACACCTTCCCTGCTGTGAAGTCAGATCTTTTCAACTCCGAATTGTACATTAGCGCTTCTTGTCATTTCCTCTGCTCTCTGCCTGCTGCCCTGTTTCATTGTCTTGCCATTGTGGCTGTCCAGCACAGAGGTGAGCTCCAAGTTTTGGCGGCAGCCTTTCCAAAGAGGAGGTCCCTCTTGTGGCAGAGTGAGGTATGACTTTAAAGCTTGGTCTTCTATCCTCCTTCAATTCTTGTAGCCTGCAGCCTGCAAGATCAGCCAAGGGACTCAGCCCCCTTTACCTTGAGGGAACAACCAATTGAACCCTCTGAGGCAGCCTAGGAGGGCCTTGCTCTAACCCCTTGGCCAATGCCTTCTTTCTTTGCTACCTGAGGCAGCAGGGACATTTTTGAGCCATTAGCTTTCACCAGCCAATGCCAGCTTTTTGTGTCGTTTGAGGTCTACACTCACGATTCTGCAAGAGTTACAGAGTTGGTTGGGTGTAGTACTTCTCAGCGTGGTGGCTGAAAAAAATTGACAAGTGTTTGTCAAGAACCACCATGTGCTGGGCTCTCCTTTGGGCCCTGGAGGTGCAGCAGGTAGTAAAACGTCCTTTTGTGGCATGCCCACTCTGGCACTTACAAACATTCCATCGTCCTTTTAATTTCAAAGTGAAAATGGCACCAGTGAACCCCAAGGACAGTCATTCTCCTCTGGTCACTGGTACGTGTTGTTACCCTCCCACTCTCTAAGTTTTCAAGCAGTGATTGGGCGCACAGACTCCCTCTCACATGCACCTCTCACTAGGACAGAGGAACTGTCTGACCTGAGATAATGTAGCATTTTGTGGCTTCATGGGGAATGTCTAGATATTAGTCCAGTTTGGCTTGACATACTGACCATGCTGTGGGAGACTCTCTGACAGGTAACTGCCTTTGGTCCTAGACTTCCCCATGGTGCTGGGTGTGGGTGTGTTTCAATTAAAAGCTCACTGTGCCCTTTGCTCATTAGAATCATGGTCTGTTTTTGAACATGTAGTGTTGTTGCTATCAAAATTATTTTTGTTCTTGTATGTTTCTAATTTTGCTTGTTCCTTTCTTTTCTTTTTCTTTTTTCTTTTCTATCATACCGCCCTGTGAGTGTGTTGTTGGGTCTGAAAAGGTAGGCTGTGAACATACTGCTTTAACAATAGCTAGATTTCCCCATGCGCTGCCTTCTCATAGCCTTCCTTGCTTTAAGAACCAAAAACTTACTGCTGCCTAGATCCATATGTTGTCTGAGTAATCTGTTAAATTTTTATTTTAGCTTTTTAAGCACATAACCCAGTAGTGTTTGAAATTTGTTAATAATCTGTGCTGGGGGACCTTGTCTGGTCTTTAGTACTTAGTGACAATGAGCCTTTTTAATTTTTTGTTTTGTTTTCAGTGAGATGCCCACTGATTTAGGTGGCTGCAGAGGGATTTTTCTTCTTTTTTTTTTTTTTTTTTTGGTGCTGGGAGTCATACCCAGGCCCTTGTGCATGCCAGGCAAGTGCTCTACCACTGAGCTACACCTCTAGCCTTGTTCCCTAGGCTTCTAAAGGAACATATCAGGCATGTGATTGCTGGCTGTGGCTGCATGATGGGCATGATATGGAGCAGGCATGTTCTGGGAGCTGTGGGGCCACTGGAGGGGTGACTGCTGGCCTTTTCTTTTGCTTTGCAGCAACTTCCCCCATAAGGAGACAGAGGCTATTCTAAGTCTGCCACTCCTTTTATCAGGGCTCAACAGCAACTTTTCCAAGTAGCGGGCAAAGATGGCCTTTTACGTAGCTAGTTCTCTTGGATCTTGTGGTCACAGAACCTCTGTCACTGACCACCATTTCCTCTGCCTTCATCAGAGAGGCTGCCCTCCTACTGCTGCCATACCAGTCGCCACCTCCCTAGACAAAGGAGCTGACTCTGCATTGGTAGAGGCTGACATCTATCATTGATGGTGCATTATTCATTTGCATTACTGATCTAGAACTGTCAGCTCCCATGGCCAGCCCTGCAGGACAGTCTTTGGCTGGCCCGGGCCCTGATGCTCTCCCTGCAACCCATTTTCTCGCACTGAAGGGACAGGTTTGCATTCTGCACGCTGCTGCCACCAACGTGCTGCCCCAGAACCATGTTTCTTCTTTAGTGCTCTGCCCCCGGTGTACACGTTGTCAGTCTTTATTTACTCTATCTCCATTGAGATGGGCTGCACTTTCTGGAAGATTTCATTGCATTCTAGGGTAGAAGATAAAAGAGAAATAAATGTAGCAAGGGGTGGAAGTTGGAGCTGTCCAACTGGAAAATGTAGAGCAGGGACAAGAGCAAGGGTCCTGTGATGACTGCAGGGCCTTCCTGTCAAGTCCTGTGTCCTGAGTCCATGTGAGAAGATCTTGGCTGGACCCTTCTCTTCTCACCTGCCCACGTGTGGCAAGTGTGTCCTTAAAGCTGTCACGCGAGAGCTCTTTGGGACATCAGACCCTTCAAGCTCAAACCACAGAGGACTGTGAACCCTTGTCTTGGGCCATCCTCCGGGCCTCCTGTGGAAGGGACAAGTGCCCTTTCTAAGTGACCCATGCAAGAGAGACTCCCCGCCATAGTGAGGACTCTAGAAGTTGTTCAGCACATATTTACTAGGCATTTGCTGTGTATTGTGTTAGGTCCCAGGTACCTGGCTGAGGTGTATTACAGAGAGGGAAGAGAGGAGATCAAGTATAATACTCAAGTTTCTGACTTGAATACCTGGATCCGTAGTGGGCTGCTGGCCATCATGAGAAGAATTGTCCCATGTATGTGGGGGTCTAAGTGGAGAGGTCGTGAGGTGGTTGGACTTGAACTTGGAGCTCAGGTGAAGGGAGAGTTGTCAGTATTTAGCTTGTATTTAAACCATACATGTAGATGACCTGATTGGGGATATTTCATGCAGGGGGTCTAGTGCTGCTCCCTATATGCCAGTCGTGCCTGGGAGGTTGAGGAGAGCCCAGAGTAGGGAGGGTTGTATCTTATTCTGAGGAGTTTGGGCTATCAGGAGCAGATGCCATATGCTCTGAAAGTGTTGGCTATAGAGGGCTAAAGGGATCTGAGGGAGTGTAGTGGACAGATTGGTACATTAGAGAGAGTTCTGGCAGGGGACTGGGGGTAGGGAGTGGTGAGCCTGTGTGGGAGGTGGAGGTAGTGGGGGAAGACAGAGTCATCTTTGAGGGAGGGGAACAGTGGGAGCAGAGGTGGAGTCTCCAGCCAAAAGTACTGTCCTTTCCACAGATCTAAGGAGGGAGGTGATGGGGAATAGAGAGAAGGGCTGTTGGGAAGGTCTGGGGTGATCTTTTCCTCTATAATAGACTTGAAGAAATAAGCCTCCAGCGAGTATGGAAAGTTGCTTTGGAGCATGCAGTTCTTTTTTGATCTATCTAAGTGTAAGGCACAGTATTGCATTGGTGCAAAGATGAATAGGATAGTCTGTCCTTAGAGGCTCAGTACTTCCTGGGAGAAGAACACAAGCCTAAAAGGAATCAGCATAACTATGTCAGGTACCAGTTAGCTACCCTGCTTGCATGCTTCATTGATGCCATCAGTGGGTATGACTGGCCCAGTTGCAGAGCAGGAGGCATTCTCAGAGTGGCTGAGTAATTAGTCCAGTATCACATAGCTAGTCAATGATGTAGCAGGATTTAAAGGCAAGCTTGTCCGACTTTAAAGGCATGTTCTTTCCACTAAGTTCATTTGGTCCCTATTAGACTTGGAACCATAAAGTAGATCACTTTTGGAGCCTGCCTGGAAAACGCTTTGCTGAGAGTATACATGCTCATATTCTAGAAATATAGATCAGATTTCTTTGATGGTGTCTTACTTTTCTTGTTTCTGGGACAAAGGTTTATTAAGTGGTTTCAGTCCATAACTGGCTGGCTTCAAGGCAGGGTGGCTTCCTAGAGAACAGTTCATGGCACCCACGAGACAGCAAAAGCAACAAGGGGAAATGGGAAGCCTCTTCCTGCCCCTTTTATTGTATCCAGTCTACTGGGATTACAGTGGTGCCCATGCAATCAGGGGACCGATCCAGCAATCACCCACCCTTAATCCCAGAACACTGATTCCCACCATTGCACTATGAATCCATCACACACCAGATTCAGCCACCTCCGAGAAATCCCTGTGACCGCATGAGGCTTTTGGGCGGACATCTAGACACAAATCATAACAGATGGTTATGTGGCATCAAAGCACTTCACACCCCAGATAGAGGTGTTTCCTTTCACTTCTGTAATGATGTGGCTGTAGATAGGCAAAATACGCACGTGTGCAAAACGCAGACACTCTTGCACTTTGAAGGGGGCAGTGCTGGGGATTGAGCCCACAGGCTTGCACGTTGCTAGTTACACACTTCACTCTGAGCTGTACTGCCAACCCTGCTTTTGCACTGTTAGTGCCAAATTCTCAGTTCTTCCTTCTTTGAGTAGAAAGTAACATGAGCTGTAGGATAAGCCTAGATTCCTCTGAGACAGGGTGATGTTTTAATATCTAACTTTAGCATAAACATGTTTGGAGGGAACAAATCAACACTGATGATTTGTCCTCACCTCTCCATTAGGCTACCTGCAGTATCAGTTAATGGCCAGTAAGCATCTGAAATTGAGTATTAAACAGCGCATTTTAAAATTTTTGTTCAGAGCTCTCTTACAACTTGCAGTTGTCTGCTTTGGAGCTTCAGCTGTGCCACCTGAGCACCTGGTAGGATATTTACTTGATTATAAGTAGATGATGTACACAATCAAAAGGCTTCTCCACCACAAGATATCTTCATGCAAAATCATGAGCAGTAGCTGTTCTCTAATTATGCAGTGACTTCTAAATCTCTGTAATACTTCCCCTACCAAAATGAGATTGCCTTTCTCAAAGTTCCTTTGGATTTGAATATATAAATTACTTTGCATGGAAATTGGTTTGTGGACTGAAACACCAAGGTCTTGTTTTTCACTAGCCGTATAAATAGCACCAACATCACAAAAAATATTAAACATTTTCTTTTTTATATGATCAAGTCATGAAACTAGTATAGCCTATATCGGTGATGGTGACCCTTTCAGAACTTTCGATGGTGCAAACAGCCCACTGCGGCACGTGTGCGATAGGTTTGCCACCACTGGCCTATATTTTAATTGGATTTTCCTGTTTAATTTCATTATTTTTGTCAGTGCTGGCTATTAAACCCGAGGGCCTGCATGCTAGGCAAGCACTTTCTCACGGAGCCGCACTCTCAGACCTCGTTAATTCAATGCTAGCTGCTGTTACGTGCACAGAGTTGTGTGCTGAGCCATCTGTGTGGTGCTCTGTGGTGCATGCTCCCCCTGACTTCTAGAAGTGACATTTTTCTTTTCGTCTGTGCACCGTCAGGCCTTTGCCTGCGACTTAGTGTAGATGTATTTTACACCATTGTTATTAGGGGATTGCCAGGTTCTTCTTATTTTTTTTTTTTTAATGAATTCCTAATTCCACCTCCTTTAACTCACATCACCTGTATGTAAAGATAATGAAACAACGAGAGTTACTCTTTGAGGTACTGAGAGGGTACTCACGTTTCTATGCCTAAGACCTGTGGCTCATAGCTTTCTTTTTTTTTTTTTTTTTTCATGGCTTTCGCTTTCACCATTAATTTTACAATTTACAGTGCATTAAAGATATTTTCATATTTGAAGTTTATGTTAGCTTTAAATTTATCTTCATTCTGGCTATATGCTATATAATTCCTCTCTCTCTCTCTCTCTCTCTCTCTCTCTCTCTCTCTCTTTCTTTCTTTTTCTTTCATTTCTTTTCTTTCCTTTCTTGTGCTGGAGATTGAACCCAGGGCCTTATATTAGGCAATCACTCAACTACATCCCCAGCCTGATTTTCTTTCCTTTTAATTTTTTTGTGGTATTGGGAGTTGAACTTGGGTCTCATGAATGCTAGGAAAGTGCTCTGCCACTGAGCTACCTCCTCAGCCCTTTTATTTTAGATTTTACTCTGAGACATGGTCTTAGAAAATTGGCCAGGCTTGCCTTGAACTTGTGGTTCTCCTGCCTCAGCCTTCTGAGTACCTGGGACTACAGGTGTATACCACCACACCAAGTTCTTCTTAAAAACTTTATTAGCTGGGCATGGTGGTGTACACATATAATCCCAGCATTTTGGAGGCTGAGGCAGGAGAATTGTTGTGAGTTCGAGACCAACCTGGACTTTGTAGCAAGACTGTCTCAACCCCCTACTCCCAAAAAAACTTTAATAAAAGAAGAGGTTTATTTAGCTCACTAAATTTTTCTTTTTAACATTGGTTTCTTCTGTGTTTTTCCTGTGAAGCAAATCTTTGCCTATGTAGATGGGAATGAAGTCTTTTTAAGAACTCAAATGCAACTATTGTGCCAGTATAATGGTAGTATTAGTCTACTTGTACACACATGTATTGAGAGTTTGCAGTTGGGTTGCGGAGGAGGAAAGTGTCCATTTGGAGGCTGAATTCCTCTGCTAGGGTGTTGTACCAAAGCAGTGAGTATGACTTTGCCTCAGGAGCAGGGCACTGGCCTGCATTTCATACATATATATACATTTTCTTGTTGTTGTTGTTGGTTTGAGACAGGGCCTCACTATCTAGTTCAGGCTGGGCTTGAACTTCCTCTGTAGCCCAGGATGGCATCAAACTCATGGTGATCCTCTTGCCTCAGCCTCCCAAGTGCTGTGATTACAAGTGTGTGCCACCATGCCTGGCAGGTTTGAATTTCTGTGATTTGGATGGCTTAGCCTTTTCCTGCTTCTCAGGACAGGGAATGCCTTCCCTGAAACTCTGTGCCATTTATATTATTCCCATCTCTTATTTAATATCATATGAAGACAGAGAATCCCTATATAATGTGTTAAGTTGAGATTAGAGTGAGAAATTTTCATAGTGGTTTGCTTTTCCTCTAACAAATGCAGTAGCATGTGATATGTACGTGAGAATCCTTGGATTTGGGGTTTGTGCAGTGATTTTGACTTTTCTGCCTGCTTTTCCTCCTCTCATTGCTACCCTCTTCCCAAATACCCTCAAAGAGGCATCAGTCTTAGTGCTAGGGACAGACACCCACCTAGTAACTCTACTGTCCTGTTGCGGAGGGAAACTTGCCTGGGACATTACATTATCAGGGAAGATATCTTGGAGGAAGAGGGCTCTGCATTGGGTTCTGAAGACAGAGTACGAATCAGCCAGGGAAGTACCCTTCCTGTGCAGAGACCTGGAGGCTTGTGGGCCAGGGGCTTTAAGCAGCACTGGGGGCCTGTAAAACTCTCAGCAGTCCCTATCGTGGAGAGGGCCTGGCCAGTAGGGCTTTGGAGGAGCTCAGTTTTATCAGAACTGATAGAAGGGAGAGATGGTGAGCAGTTTTGGTCTGCTGACATCTGTGCAAAAGACAGGCTAGGATTGGGGAGAACAGCCATGCCTGCTGCTGCTGACTGTCCACTCATCTGTTTTTCATCGTGAACACATTTATGACTGTTAGGGCAGGGGGCCGGGTAGACAGTGTAAGTAAAACCTGCTGCCCTTGTGTGCCTTCCAGTGTTGGGAATTGATTCAGTGTAGAATGTTCTAGGAGTACAGCGAGGGGTCCTTACCCACTGCAGGAGGCAGGGAAGACCTCCTTGGCATACTGGCAGATGTCATGAGCCTGCAGACAGCAGAAACTGGCTGGTGAGGGTGTGGGACTTAGGGGACCCTCTAAAAGGTTTGAAGCTGGGAGTGATACCATTGGCTCTGTGCTTTGAAAAGGCCACTCTGGCTGTGTATGTGTAAGGTGGTACTGTGTGGAGAGGGCCGGAGAGAGCAGGTGGGAGGCTGTCGAGGTGGCCATGTCTGGTCAAGATCCGGGAACAATGCAAGGACTTAGGGCCACCCTAGCACTGCATGCGGCCAGAGTGAAACTAATGAAGACTGGTGTGTCTCTTCTCTGCCTCGGCTTCACATCAGACCTGGCTGAAGCAGTATCTGGAACAGGAATGTTAAACTCCAGGGTAGCCAAAGGCTCTGCTGAACTTGGTAGAGTTAGGTCTGATAGGTTTTATACTTTGTCCTGAGATCTGTCAGTTGTATTCATTTACTTAGGAATGTCACACTTTCCGGACTGCCCTGGGAGTTTGTTCTTGATACTGTGTTTTTTTTTTTTTTTTTTTTTTTGTGAGAGAACATTTAATACAGCTGCTATTTTTCTTCTAAAAATAATATCTTTTAATAAATTCATTATCAAAAGATTAGGATTGTTTTCAGATGATAAAGGTTTAGGTACAGTTGCTTTGGTTTCTGGGTTGATACGGTGTTGGAAACCTTTGCATTATTTAGTAGCATGTCTTTGCCAATGTTTAAAGAACTACAGTGGGCATCCCAGGTCCACGCTGAAAGCTTTATTAAAGCTTGCTCTGAAATTGTGAAGATAATGGTCCTGTAAAAGCCAAATGGTTGGCTGATAGTATGCAGCATAGCTCTTTTCATAAAATAGTAATAGTTTCAAAGTTAAGAATGTAGAAGATAATTGATTTTTAAAAAGCTGAAATGAACTTTCTTGTGTTAATATCGCAACTGAAAAATCAGAAAAGGAAATCCTAGTCTAATATTGTCTAAGTGAAACATAGGATGGAAGTCCGATATACCTATTACCTTTAAAAAGCACCTGGAAGTAAATTTTTCAAGTCAGGTCCCCTCCGGCTAACATAACTGGCGATGATTGTTGCTGGCTTTCAATTTTAGAGCCTAAAGCTGCCTTCTTAGCATTTTTTTTAAGTAAGGAGAGAATTGAATAATGTTTAGCCAGTGTACTTTTAGGGCGGGAGTCCTGAGGTAATAACGATGCGTTTCCACTGTTTTGTTTTTAGACATTACAAGAAGCGGTGCCAAGGACGCATGCGGAAGCACGTAGGGGATTTGTGCCTCCAGGCTGGGATGCTGCAGGACTCCTTGGTGCACTACCACATGTCAGTAGAGCTGCTCCGCTCTGTGAATGACTTTCTATGGCTTGGGGGTAAGAACATCTGATGAAGATGATCAGATATGTCATTGTCTCGAAAGAAAATAGAAGTCTCTAAAAAGAAAGGGTGATGATCTGGGCATGGTGCTGCACATCTGTAATGTCCACATTCTGGGAGGCTGAGGCGGGAGGATTGCAAATTTGAGCCTAGCCTGGGCAACTTAGTGAGTTAGGTAGACCCAGTCTCAAAATGGAAAAAAGGTCTGGGGATGTAGCTCCGTGTAAATGCCCCAGGTTTAATCCTCAGTTTAGGGTGGGGATGGGGATAAGGGGTGGAGGAGGGAAAGTGGCCAGCCTGTGCTGGTTGCTGTGACGATGGTTCCATGTCACTTCCTAACCTTGTCTGCTGCCTCTTCCGCACCCCTCCTGAGCTGTGCCCCCTGAAGGAGGCATGTGCTTCCTCCCCTGTGCTGTCTTCTGCCTCCGTTCTTAGCACATCCGGCCCTCTGCTTAGGATGCCATTGCCTATACCTTCACCTCTTGTACTCATTCTTCCAAACATCATCCATTGGGTGATGAATGAATAAACAAAATTATGTACATAGAGTTGGGATACCATTCAGACATAAAAATGAATAAAGTACTGGTGTTGCTGCAACATGGATGGACTTTGCAAAAATTTGCCCTAAGGCCACATAATGTATGATTTCATTATATGAAAGGTCCAGAACATCAAACTTAGAAGCATAAGGGAGGTTAGTGTTGCCATGGGTGGGGAAGTCGGGGAGTGAGGAGTGACTGCTGACGGTGGCAGGCTCATTTTTGGGGTGATGAGAATGTTCTGGCACTAGATAGTAATGATGGTTGTTCAACTGTGAATGTGCAAAAAACTGCCAAATTAGGGGCTGGGGATTTAGCTCTGCGGCAAAAAGCGCCTGCCTGGCAAGCGCAAGGTCGTGAGTTTGGTTCCCGGTACCGGAGAAAAACCAAAAAAAAAAAACAAAAACAAAACAAAACAAAAACTGCCAAATTACACACTGTGAGTGGATAAATTTTACTGTATGTGAATTATATCCTGGTATTTTTTTTTTTTTTTTAATTCAAAGAGAGACAACCAGAAAGCCTAGTTGGAAGAGCAGCCTCTTCTGACTCCCCAGGCAGATAGGCAGAGCTAGAACCCTCCCTGTCAGGGAGCTCGTGTTTGCTCTGGAAATGCTTGTAGCATGTAGGGCGTGTGAGGTGGAAAGGTGTTCTGGTCCTGTGTTGGTGGTCTTACTTTTAGATATTTTTGGCCTACAGCATTTTCTGCCCCATATCTCTAGCTCTAGAATCTGGCACTGTACCTGCATGTGGTATCTATAAACATGCTATTCTGGGGAAAAAACAGAGTGGGAGGGTGTTTCATCTTTGCACTGAAGCCCGTGGTGAGACCTGGGACTTTATGAGTCTTCTGTGGTACCAGCCCTGCCACTGTGAAAGCTAGGTGGCAAGTTTCTATGTGTAACAAAACTAGTGATCTTTTAAGTTTGATCTTTGTTTTGGGGAAAAATAGGTGTTTGCAAAGTATCTAGAGGTTCAAATCATTTATTCGCCATGCAGCTTGAGGTAATCATGGACCACTAACTTTACTAGTTCTATTTCTTTTTTTCTTCTTCTTACTGTCCAGCTGCCTTGGAAGGACTGTGCTCAGCATCTGTCATTTACCACTATCCTGGTGGAACAGGCGGTAAAACTGGGGCTCGGAGGCTCCAGGGTAGCTCCCTCCCTGCTGAAGCAGCCAATAGACATCGACCAGGTGAGTGCTGCTTTTTCCTTGCCTTGTGCTTACCGGCAGTTTTTAAAAAACAATATGAGGAATTCATTGCTTTGCCTAGGCCCGAATGATGTTTAAATAAAGTATAAAATCTGTTGAGTCTGACATCTTGCATATGAGACATTGTCTTCTTTTTTTAAATCCATTGTACTGACCACTGTTGATGGCTTACAGTGATAGGTTGTTTCTGGATCCTTGGGGGGAGCTGACTTGAGGATCTGTGTCTGGCCTTCTTTCATCATTTCTACATACTGGGAAAGGTTGGTTCCAGAAGTGAGTTTTAACAGCTAATTTAAGGCTTGGGGTTATTTCTTACCTTATTGGTTAATGCATTTCCCGTAATGAGTTAGGTTTGATTTGCTTGTTTGTTAGCAGCAATGAAGAGTGAAAAACTTTGGCAGAGTAATGACCAATGAACTAGAACCTTTTGCCCCTTGAATGAATGAACTTGTCTTTAGTAGCGGTGGAGGACACAGTCATCATGTTGCATGGGTCACAAATGTAATGAAGAGTGGAGAGCTCAAGGCCCCAAACTAAACTTGTAGGTCTTTATGATCAGTGTGACTTTCAGACATCCTCTCCAGTGAGTAAGCCCACATTTTCCTCCCAGAGAGGAAGAAAAGTAGTGAATGTGTGTTGGATGGAGACACACTTGGATTTCTTTTCCCCTGAAGTGTATTATCCTCTGCACCATCAGCAAAGAATGCAGAGCCTGCCTTTGTGAATGGGGGTCTGTGGCATACCATCTGGATCCAGGTGCAGCTACTGAGATGAAGCCATCATGTTCCCTGAAGATGTTGTTTCATTCTTCCACAGGAAATCTCTCCTGCTGGTTCCTGAGAGGAGAGGGAAGCAGGTTGAGAGGCAATGCTGAGTGTGAAGTTTGAAAGAGAAATGTCTGCTCAGTGCCTCCTGGCTTTGGTCTCCCGTGAGACCCACTGGCTGTTACCAGCCACCCACTGTATTCCTTGTGGTCATAGCTGCTGTCCCTGGCTTGACACTGCAGCCTTTTAGGATTTACAGTTTTCTGTATTTGGCTTCCAGATCCTAGTGTCTCTACCACAAGCACAGAGGTGAAATCAGGTCCTGGATTCTCTTTAAAAGAACATCTCTGCACTCTTTGGGAGTGCTTTTCTGAAGATTTTGTTGTGGTGATGGTTTGAAGAGTTGACAGCTGTTCCACTGATGTGATTAGTGAGACTAGAAACTTTTTAGAGTAATGTTTCATTTTTTCCCTTTCTGAATGTAGGTAAATAGAGTTTAAAGGAGAGAAATGTCTATATTTAGGTTTGTGTAGTGTAAAAATCTTGGCAACTTTTTAGTGTTAACGACACCCTTGGGAAATACGCAGTAACTACCACTGAGGCACTAGCACCTTGTTCAACCAGCTCAGAACCAGCGCAGCACCCATGTCTGTGCCAGCAGGCTGGATCTCGTCTTGGAGAACTGCATGGTTGTCATTCTATCCAGGGTGACAGGTCCTGAGAACGAGGTGCCCTTGGATGAATAGAAAAAGTAAGAGAGACAAGAAAAACAAGAGAGGCAAAAGTCTGGGATCAGGGGGCATATAGCCTCTTGGACTGTAGCCTCGATTACCAATCTCAGTCACCTTTTATTGAGTGAGAGCCAAGGGCATAGCTAGTACAAATGGGTGGATACCACATGTTTTAGTAATTAAAGCATCATCCTCCAATTCTGCCTCTTATGCTGCTGGCAGCAATCCCCTGGTGGGCCTCCCACACCCAGCAGCACGCTTCCTCAGTTCAGCTGGGGGTTATAAGTTGGCCACCAGTTTATCAATCCACTACAATCACAGTCCTTACTTCCCATTAATTTTTACAGTGCATGGCAAGACTAAAAAATAGGAATGTCCTGCAATTCAAATATACTCTTATCTTCAGGTGAAAGGTTTCAGTTCATTTTTGCAACAATAAACAAATCATTGTGTGTCCTCAGTGCTTTCCAATCAAAGAATGGCCTTCTCCACACATGGTCTCATCTTTGATATTATGCTCAAGCTTTCTCAGTTTGTGGTGGCGCCCTGGTCTCACCTCAGAAGTTCATGGCATATACTGTCTGAAGTAAAGACCAGACAAACCATTTAACGTCCCCCTTTTTATTTCATGGAATAATATCTCGGCAGCAGAAGAGCAGAAATAGAGATGTCAGTTGCTATCGGTATGATTTGGAGCAAATTATTTAATCTCTTTGTGCGTTACTTTCCTTATCTATAAGATGGGGAAGATAATAATAGCCCCTACTCACAGGGTTATTGTGAAGGTTGAGTAGAATATATAAATAAACTAGGACCCAGAATACTCTCAGTCTAGCACTTGATGATGTCAGAAACTGTTATTATCAATACTATTGATATTAATAATTATCTAGCAGCGATATGAATTCGGGAACACTGTTGAAAGACTCTAGACATCTCAGGTCCTGATTAGTTTTCAAGCACATTTCCTCTGAGAAAGGGGATTTTTTTCCCTCTTAAAATTGAGATATCTTGGGGCTGGAGATTTAGCTCAGCTGCGCAGCGCCTGCCTGGCAAGTGTGAGGTCGTGAGTTTGATTCCTGGTACCGGAAAAAAACAACAACAAAAAAACAACAAAAAAACAAAAATTGAGATATCTTAGCTTTAATAAAAACAATTCTGTACTTCTTGCCTCTTTTTGCTTTAATTCTCATTTTGTTTTAGTTTGTTTCTTTATACTTTCCTTTTGTGGTATTGAAAGGTTGGGTATACTAATTATTCTGGCCACTTATGTATGAACCTGTATGTCTCTAATTGATAGGTACAACTTAGCTGATTAAATAGGACATCCTGTAATCAATCCAGAAGAAAATGGCTATTATTGACTCATAAATGTTTCTTAAATTGCTACTTTTTGATCTCTCTGAACCTGCTAGTAATAGCAGTCATCATCAACAAGATCATCAAAACAGGTTTGGAATATGGCTTGGTGGTAGAGCATGTACTTAGCCTGGGCTAGGACCTGGGTTTGAGCCTCAGCAGGGGGCTGGAGGGAACCAAATCATCAAAATAGGTACGAATCATCCAGCCCCACTCCCGTGCCAGTAGCTACATTCAGTGCTTTACTGTGGTCCACCTCTGGCAGGCGTTTGGGGCAAGTTACCAGTACTTCCTTGTGCAGGTGAGGGGACTGAGGCTAGGTGACTTGCCCCAAATCCTCAGCTGGTGAGTGGCTGGGTTGGAGGTGAACCTGACTGGATTTGACTGCAAAGTGTGAATTCTTAATTGTTTCTGTAACCAGCCTCCCTTTGCCTGCTTGCCTGAAATGTACTGAGTTTATACGTGATAGCTTTCAGTGGTCTAAATCTGACAAGGCCTTAAAAGAAAGAGGTGTCGGTGAAAAAATAAGATAGAATAGTGTAGATTAAACTTTTGTCTTTTCAGTAATGTCTTATTCTCAGCTACCAACCTAAAAGTTAATATTTTTACTGTCTTTGTAAGCATAGAGAACAGCACATTAAAAGGGCTTACAGTGCAGAAAGTGGTTAAAAAATCCAGCTATTGCTAATGACTTGCAGTTTGTTTTTTTCTAGTGATGCTTGTTAAGAGAAAAAGTAAACAGACTGACTTGGTTTTGTGTAGTGTTTATATGAGGAAAATATTAAGTTAATGCATTTTGAAAGACAGTAAAAATCTGTGGTCTTGTTTTCTGTTTTTTTTTTTTTGTTGTTGTTTCTTTTCTGGTACCGGGAATTGAACTCATGACCTTCCACTTGCCAGGCAGGCGCTGTGCCGCTGAGCTTAATCCCCAGCCCTGTGGTCTTGTTTTCTAATGTTGAATATTGTGAGGTTTTGGGAACCTGTCATCCTCGTTTTTATGACTTGCATACATTTAATTTGTGAGGTTAGGATGATGTTGCATACCTTGTATGACTGCAAGAGTTAGAGAGCAAGTATGCAACCATCTATGAATGTGAAGCAACTGTCAGATGACATACTGGGATAAAGCATCATCTTTGAATAATGAAGCTGGTAATGTATTGCTGATGCATGTTGAACACTGACATGATATTTATAAATATGGTTTAAAGTGATAAGTGTCTGGTTTTACATTGTGAAATGCAGTATGAAGTTTTGATGAAATCAGTGTCTTTCTAGTAATATACATTCTGGTATTACACAAATAGCTACATTACCTAAGGCTGAAGAATTTAAAGATTATTTGTACATAATATGTATTTTTACAACTCAAAATTTATATTGCTATATAATTACCTACTGAAACCTTTAAATGACTAGGAATTTGTCATTCAGAAGTTGACCACAGCTATTAAGTTTGGAAAAACTGATATTGAACTATTTTCAGGGAATAAGCTTATCTCTTCTGTGGTTGAAGAAAAGTTTGATTTCTTTTTTTCTCTATGCCCTTAATAGGTTAAAAAGGTAGAAATGTTGATTTGATACCTATTGCTTTTTCTTTATGGAAGAAATAAAAGGGAATGTCATTGAGTAAGCCATCCTGTTTTAACTTGTACATAAACATTTTTGTTTCTTGACAAAACTGTGTGACTTATAGTTAACCAGCCCATTGGGAGGCATTATGCAAGCTACCAAAGCTCTCTGCTGCTCAAAATACAGACTTGGCTTTGTGACTGCGGGGTTCCTGCAGATCATTTGGTTTTTTGGTACAGAGCGAAGTACAAAGACTTTGGGAAGCTTTGCAAGTGAATGCCAGAGGGTCGAATACCTGGTGTCCCAGCCTCCTTACCTCTAAGGCAAAGAGGCGGGACCAGACAGCAGAGATCTTTTCCTTTTATCACATCAGTTTCCGTGAGCCTTTCTTTTGTTTATATCAGAGGTGTTAAATTTTTAAAATTAATTACTGAATACTGTTCTTCCTAAAGCGGACTTCAGCATGTGCCAGCTGAGCTTTAGCTGTGGCCCCTGAGCGTCCTATTTTGAAAACCCCTACTGATAGTTGTTTATTTCCAGGCAGTTTATTTTGCTGCTTTTTCAGTTAGGAAGGCGTTTTTGGCCATAGGTGGCGCTGTTCTACCTCTTTTTGTAAATACCTAGTTTTCCTGTTTATAAATGAAGACTTAAACAAGGTTCCTTTAATTTGATTTCTTTGATTAATGCTTCAGAATACCACGATATCCATTGTACCTGGATACCTGGAAAACGTATTCTAGTTACATCTTAATTTTGTTCTGTCATGTCAGTGTGAGAATTTTCAGCATGCTGTGAAAGCAGTGGTGAAACTACTTTTCTTCCGGTGTTAGAAACCAGACAGCCATGATTTTGTAAAAGAAATAGAAACCGTTTCTGAGAGCCTTAAAGCTGAAAGGAGTGTTGAGTACCCTGAGTTTTGAGCCCTTGTTGTATGTGATCAGCGGGAGGCCGCGTGATATCTGGAGAAGAGCCTAGTTTTTTGAATCCTGCTGACTTGGTTTGAATGCTGGTGCTACACTTAGGCATGTGCACTCACTCAGTTTTTTCTGAGGGTTTTCCCCCTTATCTGTGAAATGCTAATATCATCTTTGTGCAATTGTGAGAACTAGACAAGGTGTGTGTAAAGTGTCCAGCATAGGGATCATCTCATAAAAAGATTTATACTCATTTGCTATTACTTTGTGTGGAGATATCATTTTATAGTGTTTGGTAATTAACTGGAATTAAAATAAGCAGAAGCAGTTAAATGAAGAAAGATCCAAGTACGAAGTGAGTGAACATTTGGGGAAGGTCAGTAGCTCCTGTAACATCATTAGCAGCAGCAGTGGTGATGAGGCCTTGGAGAGTTATTATGAACCTATCTTAAGCCACAGAGTTACTTGTTAATCAGTATTCGTGGGGCTTAATTTTTTATATGCTTGTTAACTAGGGTGCTTTAACTCAGTAACAACACTGTTTGCTCCACCTGCCAGTTGAGAGGTTAGACAAAAGAAGTAGAGAATTGAAATGTCACTCTTGTTATCGACAAAGCCACATTATCCATGAACTTTATGGATATAGTACAATGAATATCGTAGAACTATTTTCCAAATTTAGACGAACTGAGCCAGTCCTGTCATCTCTGTACCAAAGAGGATCTTCCCAAGGAGACCTTTTCCATTAGACTAGAGCAAGTATCTTGTGTGCTTCCTGTGGGGACCTCCTTCATCAGTCTTAGAGCAGAGCATCCTGGCTACTTCCTGAGGGGACTTCTTTCATTAGACTTACAGCAAAGTATCCTGGGTATTTCCTGAGGGGACTTCTTTCATTAGATGTAGAGCAGAGCATCCTTGGTGCATCCTGAGGGAACTTCCCCTCAGACTTAGAAAAGAGCTTCCTGGGGGCTTCCTGAGGGGACTTCGCCCATCAGACTTAGAGTAGAACATTCTGGGTGCTTTCTGAGTGGATCCGACACACAGGGAAAGGAAGGATCCTGACATAGTACCCAGTAGAAAACACCTTTGTTTTTTTTCTTTTTTTTTGGTTTTTTGAGACAGGGTCTCACTATGTAGTTCAGGTTGGTTCTGAACTCACTATGTAGGCCAGGCTGGCCTCAGACTCAAAGCAATCCTTCTGCCTCAGCCTTCCAAGTGCTGGGATTATAGATGTGTGCTACCACCATGCCCAGCTTTTTTCTTTTTTCAAAAAATTTTGATGGTGGTTACAGATTGCAGTGGTTTTTAGTCTGTATTTAAAAATAGAGATTGATATATACAAAATAGCTCTTAAAAAGCACCATAATTGTGGAGCTTACTCTCTATACAGACAATTAAATAAGTATGTTACTTCAGTAAGAGTGTGTGCTGTTAAGGCATATATTTTTAATCTTGTTAAGCTGTTTACAAATAATAATAACTAATAATAAGCGTGGCTCTTGTAGCTGGTATCTCTTGGGGTGTGTTTTGCTATGATGGGAAATTACATTCTGAAGAGAAGACTAATTGGATCTCTCTGATACTTGGGTAGTTTAGCAGATGATCAAGATTTTCACAGGCTTCTTGATAATAATGGAATTAATCATTTTATATTTTAAATTAATTACAAAGCTACCTTCTAAACATTGGAAATCTTTAGCTGAAGGAACTGTTCAATAATAGAGAGAGAGAGAGAGAGAGAGAGAGAGAGAGAGAGAGAGAGAGAGTGAGAGACAGAGATGGAGCTTGATTGATTGATTTAGGGGAGTGGCATTAAGTCTGTATAGCCTTCTCTCTCCTTTCCAGGGTGCTGACAGATATTTCCACAAGTAATATTCCTGTGTCACTTGGCTTACTTGTGGAAATGAGAAATTCTCATACTTGTTTGAGAAGAGTTAGGAACATGAGCTCAGAAAGTGGGAAGAGAACGAGGTAGGTGAGGAGGTACTTTAGTTTGTGTAGGACCTGAATAATAGCTCTTCTTTTTTTGTTCTGCAGCAGAACACTACTGGTAACATGCTGTTACTCAGAATTGCCTTTCTGATCAGATACAAGTGTGAATTGCCTTTCTGATCAGATTTCTCAAGGCTAAGTGAATTATGAAATGTATATTAGTACTTATCTTTAAAAAAGCAGTTTTCTTTTCCAAATAAAATACCATAATCTGTTCTTTCTTCCAGGGGCACAAGAAGTTCTCATTGATCCAGGTACATGATCTCTATGCTTAGTTTCTTTTGGTTATTTGTTTGTTTTTTTAAAGTGCTTGTTCCATGATGGTGTGAATGAATGGTTAAAATTTCTGGATTGTGATCTTTGGAACATTCTGATTTAAGTTACTTTAAATCAGAACTGTTAAAAACCTGATTATTGTTTGGTCTTTGTTTGATGGGGCACCCTGTTGCTTTATGTTGTCTGTTGAAGAGGAAAATTCTTTTCCTAGCATGGTTAAGTGAATGATTTGAAAATTGTGCCTTTAATTCTCTGAATGCATTGAGCCTGCATGTCCTATTATTTTGAAGTCATTCATAGTAATGATTTTGCTCAGATTTCATGGCTTATGCTCTTTTCAACACCAATTCCAATTTCTACTGCATTCTGCATATGTCTTTTTTTTGTTTTGTTTTTTGTTTTTCTCCGGTACCAGGAACCGAACTCACGATCTTGCGCTTGCCAGGCAGGCGCTTTTGCCGCTGAGCTAAATCCCCAGCCCTGCATATGTCTTTTTAATAGGGAAAGAAATTTTATATTTTTCACACAGGTGGGTTTTTTTTTCCTTACTTAATACTGTCTGTAATTAATATAGCAAAAATCTGTTTTATTACAGTGCTTAATTATTTCATGATAAGCTCCATTATTTTCTGGCTTAATAAGAAACAATGACAAAATAATAGAAAAATGACAAACTCTTTCCTTGAAAGAATACAAATGAGGTAGCTGAACTTACACAGGCTTCATGGCCCAGACATCTGGTTTCATCTCATTTTGTGCTTTGCTTTTGCAATGGAGTTGCCTCAGGTTTGCAGATCTTCATTTTATTATTTGGGTCCAATCCTTTCTGTAGGCTGATGGTGGCTAAGTTTCTTGGTAGGGCTTGTAGGAAGCATAGAGAAAGCATAACAGATGCTGTTTGCTTCCAGGAGAGCTGAATGGCTGAAGAGAAAGCCATCTGATGGCAGGGCCTACTGTCACTGAAGAACTGGATGACTGTGCCTTAGCTAATGAAAATTAGGTCGATATTGGATGCATTGGTATTTGACCACTAGATGTCATTGAGTCCAGTCTGGCTAGTGGTACCTGATGTAAAGGACTGAATTTCAGTGTGTTGGTCAGGTTACTTGCTGGGGAATTGGATACATACACCATATAGGAGTAGCTGAGAGCTACTTCAGAAAGTCAGATTTTCTTCTGATGAGAAAAATCCATTGTTTGTTGAGATAAAAATGTTTTAAAAACATTACTGAAGGCTTTCAAAATACAGTTGTGTAGAGATGAAATTGAGTTGAGAGTACTGAAAGTAAAGGTGAGGATGACTGTGTGAAACTTTATCACTCAGGATGTGACAGGCTTCTACTACAAAAGGGAAAGCTACCGGAAAGGACACAGTTGCCTGTGCTGGCATTTGAGGGCATCTTCTTCACTGGGCCTAAATGAGAGTAATACGGACTTTATTCGAATTAGCTGAGGGACAGCAAGGAAAGAAAACTGAGTTCTGTTCTCATCCATATCTAGTTGCTGTCTCCACAGGCTGTTCCCCTGCAGCTACTCTTCCAGGATTGGGACTGACCACTCTCCTGGGTCCTTAGCTATCTTTCAGGCAACCCCATCTCTGCTGTACGGACCCTCATGGGTGTGCTAATGGCAAGTCTGCTAGGAGGGAATCTTTTCACAGCTCCTAGGAGCAGTGAGATTTGGTTTCCACAGCCTGTGAATCTGAATAGCTAACTTTCTCTCAGGTGTGATAAAACCATTGAGCCCTCCAGGAAACTCATTCACATAAAACTATCATAAAATTATACTACGTCTGTTTATTTTTGAGTTTTAAATGGATATAATAGTTGAAGGAATACTGTTTCAGAACTTTTTTTTTCTGCTTGCTTTTCCCACCACTTTTCCAAAGTCAGAAGAGTTTGATGGGTGCTCGCTCCATTGCTTATTTCAAGAACAAAGCATCTCCTCCATGACTTCTGGTTGAGGCAGGAGATTAGGGCATGGAAAATAGGATGTGACCTGACAATCAAGAAGCAGAAAGGAGGCGGGACAATAGGGCATGACCTGTCTGTCCTGGGAAGGATGCAGTACAGAACAACTTCTGATGGCCCAGATCTGAAGTTGAGAGAGGGTGTAAAAGATGGTGACCATTGACTTTAGGGCCATTGCTGCCTTCTTGTTCTTACAGTGGCCTGTCCTGCATGTGGGATGTGCCTCCACTTTTCTCCTTTTTCACTTATTTTCCTGTTTCTTCTTGTACTTTTTTTGTTTTGTTTTTTATTTTTTTGAGACAAGGTCTTGCTTTATAGGTCAGGCTGGTCTTGAACTCACTATGTATCCCAGGCTGGCCTTGAACTCAGAGTGACCCCTGGTCTCAACTTCCTTAGTGCTGGGATTATAGGCATGTACCACCACACCCAGCTCTCTCTTTTTTTTAAACTTTAAATCAACATTGTATTTTCAGGTACACTGATTGTCCCATCCAGTTCTTCTAACAGCACAGCAAAAGCCTGGAACCACTGGACACCACACCTTCCAGCAGCACTGTGGCTGGTCTTCTGAGTTCTTAATCTGCATTTTAAGTAGAATGGCTCTCTTTTCAAAGTCTGTTTTTCTCTTATTTTTTAACATTTTGTGTACGTTCAGCAAGTACTTAATTTAAGGAAAACAATCTTTTGGCTGATTTCACTTGACTCACATTTGCTTCTCCAGTTTTATTTTAAGGGGAGTTTATTCTTTCCATAATAAAAATTAACAGTTTGTACTTACTATGGGGGAGCACTGTTCTTGGGCTTTTTAAAAAAAAATATCTTTACTAGATTTCAACCATTTAAAATGTATAATTCAGGGGCTGGGGATTTAGCTCAGCGGCAAAGCGCCTGCCTGGCAAGCGCAAGGTCGTGAGTTCAGTTCCTGGTACCAGAGAAAAACCAAAAACCAAAACAAAACAAAAGTATAATTCAGTGGTTCTTAGTGTATCTGGAATTGTACCACTGCCCATACAGGCAATTTTAGGGCATCCCATCACCCTGGCAAGAGGTCCTTGTACCACTCACAGCCACACTCTTCACTTTCTTTCCCTGTGGATTTGTTTGTACTACACATTTCATGTTAAGTGGCATCAAACAACATGTGGTCTTCTGTGACTGGCTTCTTTAACTTCAGTATTGCTTTTCTTTTTATTGCTGAATGGTATTCCACTACGTTAATGCACTGCATTTCTTTTATCTGTTCTGTCAGTTTATGGGCATCTGCATTGTTTTTGTTTTTCAGCTATTATGAATAATGATGCTCTGGACTCTTCAGTATTAGTTTTTGTGTGGATGTGTATTTTAAATTCTCTTATGTATATGTGTGAAAAGTTACATTGCTGGGCCATGTGGTAACTCAGTATTTTCACTTTCGGAGAAACTGTCATTTATTTTCAAAAGTGGCCGCACCACTTTATATTTTCAGCAGTAATGTGTGTGAGTTCTCTTTTCTTTACATGCTCATTGGCAGTTGTTACCCTTTTGATTCTAGCCATCCTGGTGGGTATGGAGTGTTGTCTCACAGCACCTTTGAACTACATTTCCCTCATAGCTGCTGAGCAGAGCATCTTCTCAAGTGTTTATTGGTCATTGTATACTTTGAAAAAATGTTTGTTCACATCCTTTATCCATTTTTCAGTTGGGGTATCTTACTATTATTGATTTGTAATAGTTCTTATATTCCACATATTGCTTATCAGATATATGATTAGCACTATCCTGTATTAGCATTGTGCCTTTCTTTCTAGCAGCTTATTGAAAACGTGATGTTCTTGTATTCTTGTCTGTAACAACAGTCTTGACAATAGGTCTGTTAATTGCTTCAAAATGGAAAAAACAGTATAGAAATACCTCTGAGATCTGTTGAAAACAGCCTGGAAGTTTCAAAGGCATTCCATGAAATTTACAACTACTTTAGATGTATTATGGTTATATAGCAAAATACATTCATTAACTAGATTTGATAAGAGGAGTATAATATGGGAGTGAGCGTTAGGCCTGGTGCCTACCGTGTTGTTCAGTGTGCATTTCTTAAGGACAAGGTCAGCACAAATGCAGTTATAGTAGTGAAAATCAGAGAATTTCACTGTGCAGATCCCGTTTACATTCTACCAGCTGTTCCTAGCCAGCAGTTCTATTGTCTGACCCAGGGTCCTATCCAAGATCATACATTTCAGGTAGTTTCTATATCAACTTCATATTGTTTAATCTTTTTCTTTTTTCTTGGTTTTTGGTTTTTTTCTGGTACCAAGAATCGAACTCACTACCTTGCACTTGCCAGGCAGGCACTGTGCCGCTGAGCTAAATCCCCAGCCCCATGTTGTTTAATCTTAAATAGCTTTTCTCAGCCTTTCTTTTCTTTTTTGCTTTTGATGATTGATATTGTTGAAGAGTACAGACCATTTACTTTATAGAACATTCTTTTTTTTTGTATGACAGGGTCTTGCTATTTAGTTTACACTGGCATTGAACTCAGTTATGTAGCCCAGGCTGGCCTTGAACTCACCATGATCCTCCTGCCTCAGCCTCCCAAGTGCTGGGATTACAGGTGTGTGCCACCACGCCTGACTTATAGAACATTCTTTTTTTTTTTTTTTCTTTTAAAGAGTAAAAGAAGGATAACATAATAATAGGGGG